ATGTTTTTCAACCAACGTTCACGCATCTGTGGATTTTTGGGGAGCTTATGAAAGTGCATCCTCCCAGTGGTTGAGCACACTCTCACGGAATATTTACCCATCTTTTACCCAATTTTTACCCATATTTACCCAATAATAGAATTAATTCTTTTTAGTAAATCATAAGAAAAGCAGATAATACTCATGGATACTTATGGATTCCCTACGCACCAACACTTTCACACAACTTTACATTGTAAATTCGCGCCAAAACGCAACAGCTGCGCTATCTGCACCAGGCCCCTGAATGAGGAAACTAACTTAGTCCCCCACCTATTACGTTGAGTGAACGCCAGCCCGCCTATTACATGTATTACATTGAGCGGTTACTGCAAACTGCACCGTTCACGTACAGTTTCTCTTTCCCAGCTCATGGGTAAAAACGTTAAAAAGTACTTATTGTCATTGTTACTCTCATCGTTGGTATTAATACCCAGAGTGTAACAATTAAAGCCGTGTCCCGTCATCAGCTGTTCAATTTTATCAAGTGCAGTAGATCAAGGCCGGCAGGAGGTGTATGATCATCATTGGTCGTAACGGAGTTGTTTCGTAAGCTATAATGAGCGATTTTATAATCAGAGAAGCCACCCGTGATGATTGCCAAGGCATTTTAGCATTAGTTCAGGTAATTGTATATGTTTAAAAAAGTTTGATTAGGGGCAGGGTGCTAAACGACTATTTAAGAACCAATTTTTTGTCCACGAATTACATGAAAATTGCAATTTTTTTTAATTTCTTTACTCTTGTATATGTGTTGAGAGTTTGGCCCCATCGTAAACGTTATTTTTAGTATTCCTATTACAGTTCCAAATGTTATTTAATTATTTTTTATCCATGCGTATTATGCGCTAACCTCGCAAACAATGTAACATAACCTCATTCTGAGAAGAAAAGCAGGTTAGTATGTTGTTTTATACCACCGTGGAGATGGAACTTGAAGTTTGTATTCATAATCTTCGTGTAAACCGGGGTTACGATATCGTCTACATTTCCTTGAAATTCGGATGAATATTTTACAGCTTTGGGGGAGAAGACATAACAGGAGGATTGATGTGTTCTACTTTAAGTATGCTAGGTAAACGAGTAAGTATGCTAGGTAAAGTTGACGGTGGCACGGTTCTTTTGACACAAATTTCGTTCACAACTAACACAGTATAAGAAATATATCTTTACACCATGCCAGTGAAGGTAGTCAGTTCTGAACAATGTGCACATTCAGTTCGTGAATTGGGCTGCATTTCAGTTCGTATTGTTCATCCTAGAAATTAATTTTATAGCCAAAGCATTTTGGCACCAAGTTGTCTGCGACGGATCCCATGTGCTGCGTTCGCGAAGGCCTCTCGGCGCTCGCTCTCGCGACCTGGCTCTCGCTCGCTCCGCCTGCGCTGGCGCTCACGGTGTTTTTATATACCTCCCTCACTTTTAAGACAATTTCCTTTAAAGTAAATGGTATTATTAATTTTAGAAAATCACTTACGTTCATTAATACCTAAATGAACGCCATCAATGAACAATGAGGACAAGGAACCGTGCCACCGTCAACTTCCGATGAACCTTATGCTTTTGTCATTTAAAGAATATGAATGGCCAATTTAAATATCTTTACCTTCTTATTTAATCTCCCTGTTAGGGCATTTCAATAGAAAAATACTTTTTAGATATATATTTTCAGATTAAGAAGTGAAATTAAGTGTTCTCTAATGACTTTAGTTCAGATATTTTTTTAGTGTTATTTTTTCAGGAGCTAGCGAATTTTGAAGATATGCCAGGTGGACCAAAAATTGGACCAGATGGTACCTATTTATTTTTGTTATTAATAGAATGTACTATTATATAACATTAAACATATTTTTTTATTAATTACGGTAAATGAATATAATTTTTTTAAAATTTCAATTGTACATGCGTATGAGATGTTATTAGCAGTTTTTCCACATTTTCGGTTTTAGTTTTTTTTTACTGGGAATCTACGCGGCATTCGTTGGTACTTCATTTGAAAAAAATATGCCTATTAACAATGGTATCCGGTATGAATATATGTTCTATGCTTCCTTAGGTTGTTTTGCCAACCGTACATGGATTACGGTGCAAAACATGCCGTATAATGGGCGAGCGTTGAGAATATTGTAGAAAACGAAGATAAATGTTTATAGTGGTATGAACAAAGATTGGTGCCTTGTGAAAATGTTCAAAGTCAATTGTGCGACAGGCTCAAGGTTGTTTTATATTAAACCCGAAGGCCAGAGCCTCGTGTTAAATTTCGATATGATTGGTGAAGTTGAATGTGTGACGTAGAAGTACTATTCAGCGAAAAGGTACTTTGGAAAAAAATGCATTGGAAGGAGTCACGTTTTATGATAATTGCGAAAGCCGTTATGCAATTGGACACGTGTGGCGAAGCGTTTAAATGGGTTACAAGTTAAAAAAATGTGTTTCTGCTCGTGGGTTTTTTTGTTCGTGCGGACAAAACATACTAGTTCTGTTAAGTTGTCTAAATCAATATACTCTTCACTTTGATAATCCATGGGATTGGTAGTGTCATTTACTAATTGTTTAGGTATTGACTGCGCATCTCGTTCGCACGTTTGATTTAAAGAAGCGCAATTCTGTCAGACATATCTAAGTCAGTAGTACATTTTCATTTGCCAAAATGGTTTGAAGTAAACATTATCATGTCCTTAGCGACAATACATTGAAACGTATTATAAAAATTTGGATCCACGTGCACTTTTATTGGATATGGAAAGTGTTCACTTAACGAAGTTGGGCCCCCTGATCAGAGAGTATATATCCCCTGATTTATTCGAGTAGAAGACTCCCTCCGTATATTTTTATAAGCTATTGGCTTTTTAAATATATATTTTAGAAAATTGCACTTATTATATTATTATTATTATTGAGTGAAATATTACCTACATACAACTTCGATAATCCCCAGATATTCCATAATTGGGAAAAACCCCAGAATGTTCGTAATGTTTTACGGAGTGCAGGAACCTTAAACAATAACTTAACAAAATGAAAAACCATTTGTCATAATTTAACGTAGTCATTTTTCAATGTATTAATTATAATAAATATGTTTACTTAAAAACAATAAATAATACCCTATCATCGTGTATAAATAAATACTTTTGAAGTTTCGTGGCCTTAATTCAAACTTTAATAGTTGAATTTCAATATTCAAGCCACATGTTTAAAAGATTACTTGTGTTATCCTTAATGACTTTTATGCGTAAAACATTGCAGTATTTTAGGTCACAAATTACCATCAGTTCTGATTCCATTTAAAAACATATTTGCAATATTTTCATTGGCCAAGTTTTAATGAACAATTGGGGCGTTTGTTGCGATACAATTACATATTCATAAGACGTGATAACCGTGGTGTCAGATATTTGGGCTTAACTTTTACTCAAATATGCTCTTAAAAGCAACAAAATATTAGTGACTCATTCATAATAATGCTATGTGGGACGCGTACAGGCAATGAATGTAAATGGCAACTTATTGTGAAAGCTACGCCCTTTTTAGTGAGTGGATTATATTGCAAAAAATGTGGAAAATCCACTTACGTTTACCTCTGAGAATGCCGGGAAAATGTTTAGACGTTTCGACCTTTAAACTGCGAACAACTAAGATGGTGATACCTGTAAGTGGCCCCTATTGGCTTGAAATAACCATCTAACTTTGTTTACTTAA